AACAGACTGCAATTGACTGCAAGTTCACATTGAGATCTGAATGCATCCAATCAACAACTGATGACATTTGCTTCTTTTTTGATTAATATATTTCCCTCTGATGTACGTCACAATACGGATTAAAATATTTTCCGCTACTTTTGTTTCATAGCGACTTTAAGGATTTTGAAACGTTTTGTTCACATCTCCTCAAATAAAGCAGAAATATCTGCACTATTTCTAGGTCACTAATCAATCAAATTTGTGTCAAGGATCATGTGGATTTTTTGTTAGATGTTCGTTCTTCCATTAAGGCCCAAGATGCTCTTTAGATAATTCTCAAATCATACTGGAGAACAAGGTCATCAGATTCAGCAGATTTTTCATTACAACTTAATGTAATGAAGTAATGAAAATGTATACTTTGAAAAGTTACTGAAAAGAAAGTTACTTTTGGACCCCACTGTATATGCATTTATTTATCTAAGCGGGCTTTCCGTAGTAGGAGTCAAATCGAGAGTGACAAGGAGCAGCGGGAAGGTCACGGCCGTCGGCAGAGGGACAAAGAGCATCGCGGCAGAGACGAGGAACGTAAGCGTCAGAGGCATCACTACGAGTTTGACAAGTTCATGCGACGCAAGGAGGAGACCAAATGGGGCAAAGGCTACTGCCAGGACAGGGCCAAGAAAGAACAACATCATGCCTATTCCTACTGCCCAGAGACTGGAGACAAACTGGGCAAAGAGGACAGAGAGGACATGGGCAGCAGGAAAGAACGGATTCGCAATAAGGTAAATAAAAACTAACAGAGTAGCAATATCTCAACCACAGGCCATTTGCAACTCTGGTTCTGGTATTATGTACAGTTATTGCCATCAGTCAGTTTGTCCGGTCTGTGTAGCAGATGAATCCACTAATGCATTCAATATTTACACACCTGTACTTGATTTATACATCATTATGTCTGTGGGAAATACAATACGAATCTGCCTCCCTCCAGGGGGTTTCAATGCAGCCTTCACTGATGTGTTGAGGTAGTTAGCTGTAATTTGGCTGTTGGCAATATTATTGACGGAAGACAACGTGTCTCTCAGTCTGTGTTAGCGCATCAGGAGAAAAGGACTTCCCAGTCTGAGGGGCCAGACCAGATAGGAGGGGCTCTGCCAGCAAAGGTACAGCTAGTTTTTGAGCCTTTCTACCCACGGGAGGGGATGCTTCACATGCTGTATACTGCGAGGCCTCGCACCTTACAGTGCCAGGCGTACTTGATGACAGCAGAATGTTGGTTATGCTGTAATGGCACAGATGAGGAGCCGTTCCCAATAGAAGGAGCTTATATAACTGAAAACGACGGCCCTGTTCCAAAACCGAGCGAGTTGCCTATGTAGGCACTGGCAGCATTTTAAGGCATTTTATGCATGCCCTCAATGTAGAATTGGACAAAAAAAAATGTAATAGTCCTTATTTTGGCCAAATTCAATATTATCTTTCATTTATTTACCTATTTTTGCAAAAGGCTATCCCATAATGCATTGCGACCATCTCGGGGGGGGGGGGGGGGGGGGGGGGGGGGAATCCAGTCAAGATGGCAGACGATAAATGTCGATTATATATTATTATAGTTGAAAACATATTAGATTCAACATCTCATTTAAACCTGGAAATAAACAAAAAAATTAAGGATTTTAAAACGTGAATTATTTAAAAAATCTTTTAAAATATTTCTGCTCTGTTTCGTGGGGGGGAAATCCATTCAAGAAGGCTCCCAAGGTGAGAGAAATTTTAATTATGAATATAGTTTAAAACAAATCTGTAAAATAGATTCAACATCTCATTTAAACTAGGAAATGAACTAAAAGTTTAAGGAATTTGAACTATTATAAATTATACAAAAAGTGAATACAAAATATTTAAGATTCTGATCTATTTTGGGGTAAAATAAGGTGAGGTGAGAGAAATTGATATATATATATAAATAGTTAAAAATGTCAATAAAATAAAACTTTTCTACTCAATATTTGTGTGGTTTTATACTTATTAGAGTTTGACACTGTTAGTTAGCAACATGTTATCGCAGACTCTATTGAAATGAATTGAAAGTCGAGTCTCCTTTGCCTTTTGCATTGAGTTGCTGATATGTAAAGCGTTACAATTTTATGACAGTTGTCTTAAAAGGCAGCTTCCTGTGTAGACAGTAAATTGCATTTCGCTTGGTTTTGGAACAAATCCTAAATGTATATAGAAGAATACTTAAGATCTCGCACATTGTAAGCACATTGAAATGCTTACATGCTGGATTCTGTTTATACCTTTAGTAAGTAGTCATTTAGCAGATGCTTTTATCGTACTTACCGTACACTTATTTCCAGAAGTGATGATAGCAACAGTAGTCTGGTTATTAGCCCTGAGCTTTAGCCATTATGTGTCACCCCCGTCACCACCACCGTAAACAGAAACTGTATAACACAAACAAAGGCATAACAGATACAATTCAGTATAATGTTTTTGTTATGGACTAAATGGATTTTGAGGGGCTGTCAATAGCTGGTTGTCTGTCTTGCTGAAATGGGTTGAAATTGATTATACTGTATGCATGAACAGCACTTTCTTAAATAACCTGCCATGAAAAAAGCCGTGTCGTCTGCGTTTGTGGTATGAAATATGAGTGTATTGCTTTTGTCTCTTTTGTCTTACTCATTTCACGGCACAGGACCGACCAGCAATGCAGCTGTACCAACCTGGGGCTAGAAACCGCAAGCGCACGGGCTCCGGGAACAAGGCCTTTGACTTCTCGCCAATCTCTCCCGATCACGGAGGAGAGCTTTGCTACAAGACAGTCATTGGTACAGGCTCAGAAAAGAGTGCTGACGAGTAAAAAAAAAAAAAAAAAAGACCACGACAGGAAGAAGTTATGCCAGTATAGGAAGAACACTCAACTTCAACCTTGTTTTTTTGTCTTCTGAGTCATCTGTGAGTATAGTGCATCGAAATCACCACTGAATATTTTATACACAAAGTCAACAGTGTCATAAATGTACAATGATCGGCTTCTGTACGCTTGTCAAGGATTCACACCACTTCATTGATACAAATACCTCATTATTTACAGAGATCAGATTTGTATGCCTTTTGTAGTGCAAGAAATTGATTCCATTAAACAAGAGAATATATATATATATATATATATATATATATAGAGAGAGAGAGAGAGAGAGAGAGAGAGAGATTTTACTGTAAAGAAAATCAGTGTGTGTTGTGAAATCTGTATTTTAAATAAATGTAATGTGGGATGGGGAACAGAGACATATTTTTTCTTTATGAATATAAAAAATGCTACATTGTATTAATGAAACATTTAAGCATGCAACTCTTAATTTCACATTTTCACACTGTAATGCCTTTGAATGATGCCTCTATTGTCCCTGATGTATAGACATTCTGGCTTTTCTGCATTAACAAATTCATCTCACAACAGGATATAGCAAATTTCTTAGCATCCTTTCACCTGCGGGCCAAGAAGAACAAAATTATTTGTTAAAACTGTCTTCTGTTAGGTCAAATAAGATGTTGTTTTGTGATATTTCTAACCAGTGTGCATGTTTTTGAGAAACTGCAGTCATTCAGCGGTGGGAGGCTACATGGGGTCACTTGCCTTACCTTTGATTTGCACTTAAAGATCCCGTCCGTTATTAAATACAAAAAATACAGGTTTTTAGAATTACTGTTTAGTTAGTATGGAAGTAAAATAATGACAAATGTATTTGAAACAAAAAAGCTTGTTGAATTATTTTACTTCCATAAGTTAGTCCAACAAAAAAGTGAAGTCTGTAGAATACTTAAAAAATGTGATATTGTATTTGATGGATTGATCATTTGTGTACAATAAAGATATGATTATATAAAGTAATATTTGAATTTTATTATTTTTTATTTATATTTTATTTATGACTTAAAAAAATATTAAAAGAGCTGTATTGATTTTTTGTTCATAAATTATATTTAGACTTTTACACTTTAAATAAGTTTGATTAAAAAATGTACAGCTTTTTTTTAAAAGAAATTTTTAAGTAGTTAAATTAACAAAAATAATTGAAATAAAAATATTGATACAGAATTGTATTTTTTTTATGGCATTACATAATGGCATATTTCTTAAGATAATAGACCAAATTTTACCATAATTAAAGTTTCTCGTTTGCGCTTGAATTGCAGCTGAAATAATACTAAAGGACGAACTTTTCTCAAGGCTGGATTTCTTTGTAAGATTTATTGCTTTCGCTTGCAAAACAGCTCAGCAGCTTAAGTTTGCTCTTTCTGAGTCAATTCTAAACCAGAATCAGTTTGCACTGAGAAGACAGAAATTAATAGAATTTGCATGCTTCTCATACAACTTCTTTAGTTCCCACACTTTCAGACAGAGAAAGCAAGTCATAATGACTTTCCTGTGTCTTTTGCGACACGACTATTTACCTCTAATTTTACTTTTAGCCTGTTTTGTTCATTCCTATTGCCCCTGCTTTTCTCGCACTCTGTGAAATGTGAAAGAGTAACGATGGAAGATGCGATAAATCATCCTGTACAGAAGCAAAATGTCACTAATGGCAGTTTGTGCCACTTTATAAAGAAAATAGTAGTTCCCCGTTCTCCAAGAAAACACATTTATTTTAGGTTTGTTTGTTTTCTAGTTAAGTGCATGAATAACCAACATAAAAGTAGAGCTCACAAAGCAAACAGGAAACAAGATCACAGGTATGACTGAGATAAAAAAACCCTGAACGAGTTTCTTCACTGTAGGTTCCTTTTTTTTGCTTTTCTTTTGTACATTTTGTACAGATACGTATATCCACACCAGATTTGACAGGCCTGGCCAATGAAACACTGAGGTTTCTATTAATGCATCTACAAGTTCACTAATAAAAATTTGGCATATCCCAAAAGTAAAATGTTCATTTCACTGTTTGTTTGGGGTGCGGGAGCCCTTAAGACTACATTAGCTTGGCGTCAGGAAAGGTGTGTGCCTTTATTTTTACTGGTTTATGTGGCATATTGCCTTTCACCACATCCTCCCACATCAATTTCAGCTTTGAGTTCGCAGTCATTTAAAAATCCAAATCAATAAAACATTCAAAAACACACATCACTATTGAGAAAGAGAAACTGTGTAAAACCAGCATGTCATTAGAGGAACTTCCTCTGGATGCTATAAATTCAGTTTTGTTTGCAAACTGGTAAATGAATAGATGTTATAACTTTGATAATGAAATACGTATGCAATGTTCTTGTACATGTTTTAAATGATCAATTTATGATATTTCGAAATGAAATATGTTGTTAAATTTCACATATGTGTAACTCTAAGCTTACTATTTTGATCTAAATGAGTAGTCAGGCGGCGTACTTCCTCTCATCAAGAGGTTTCCTGAGTCTAACAGTCATGCCTGAAGATTAACTGCCATCAACACACGAGGGAAGTCGCACATGCTTCTTAAGGTATGTACACAAGCCTGAAATTGCTTTTTAAAATGATGTATTTCCTAAACATGTGCCAGTATACTTCACACTTTGAGTCGCTCTGATAATCCCAGGGACTTTACATGGCTTTCATTGTCTATTGTGAATTATTGAGAAATCGTACATTTTGTGGATGTGCTCTGCTTGTTAGTTAGAACTGATTCATTGTTACCTGAATGTTTTGCTGCTCTTGTTGAGTTAGAACTGTGTGATCGTTCGCTAGACGGATGATCGCAAACAATCTCAGTCCGTAATTCCTCCGGATCTGACAAGTATATTGAAAGCATTGAGTTGCAAATGAATCTCCTATTGCTACAAATAACAGCAAATGTAACGTTAAAAATATAGTAACTGATAACATGTATAAACTCACTGATCTCATACTATCAACATCATTTCACACAGAGAGCCTTTTATAGTTTTGTCTAACAGATGAGTCATGATGGTGTAACACTTCACGGGTTATGAGAAAGCAGGCTACTCTGAAAGCAAAACCAATTTTACTCTGATCCAGTAATGTGGTTTTTTTTAACAGTGTAAAATATGGAATCATTATAATAATTTGGTTGAGTTATGTTCTCCATATCAAAATGTTTTAATGGACATTCTTTTAACATTCTTGCGGTTTTATGAATTTGTGTTTGTTAACTGTTTAAATTCCGCTGACAAGCTTATAAAGATTACATTGAGAAAACTTACCTCATTAAATATGATAACAGGCACCATGAAATTTAGTAATATCATTTTTTTGGGCAATAACTATGTGGCTACTATGTTTGTGTCTATAAGGACATTTGCTTTCAAAAATAAACCTACCATGAGAACTATTATTCACTGTAAAGTAAAAAGTGTGAAAACTAGACATGGTTTCACCTACTTTGAAGGGTCCGCATGTAGGTCGTTATCTTCACATAAGCATGGGTTCACTGAAAAAAAAAAACATGAAAGTGTGATCATAGGTTATTAGGTGATACATTTTCCCATAATACCCATAAATGTTGCTGCATTTTTGTAATTCTGTTAATTAGGCAATATTCCAAATCCAAAATGACATGCAATACATTCAGGTACAGTATACATCAGTTTACACATTCCCTGTGAATCAAATTTGAGTATTTTTCAGGAGCCCTTGTGCAAACCTATTACTTAAAACTTGCTTATTGCTTAATGACAGAAACACCCATATAAAATACTTTGCGAATGATGGCATTCAAGTACAGTGTGTAGCTGATATTTAGCAGGAAAATCAAAAGGCGATTGACAAAAATCCTAACAACGGCAAAAAACATGATCTATCTAATGAACAATGGTTCAGTTAAAGGGGTAATTCACAGAAAAATTCTGTCATCATTTACTCACCACCATGTTGTTCCAAACATGTATGACTTTCTTTCTTCTGTGAAACACAAAAGAACATCAGTGCTTTTTCTCGTCCATAAATTGAATGTTAATAGGGTCCGATGTTGTTTGGACACCCAACAGCTTTTATAATATCTTTCTTTGTGTTATGCAAAAGAAGGAAAGACATGCATGTTTTAAGCCACACAAGAATGAATAAATGATGACTGAATTTCTTTCTTTTTTTGGTTCAACCATCCCTTTAAGTCTACTTATTTAGGTCGCACAAAATTAAAAAATGAAAGAGCAGAAAATAAATGACTCAGTTTTTAAACAGACCCGGGAACACATTTTAGTCACTATTTAATGATACCCTTTAAGTTTGCAGAAAGGTGGCGTACCCATTAGTTGCCATCATGACCTAAAAAAAAAGGCTTATTAAATCTATGAATATCCTTTCAAGAAACAAGGACACGGTTTCAGAAACATTATTTTACGTCAAGCATTTGAAACTACAGCCCACCTCTACTATTTCAATCTGTGCAAGACACCCGCACTAAAGCTGTAATGACTATGAAATCTGATGCTGGCACACGTTGCGGCATTAAAATAACTTTTCACTTCCTTTGAAATAACATGAAAAAGTCCCTCGCTCGAGACTGTTTGTGTGAATCATTTCAGTTAACATTTGTGAAACAGCTCTGAGACTTACAATAGGCAGTGATTTGTTGGTCATTTGTGCTTTGTGTGTACCTGCTGAAGAAGCATGTTTGGAAAGCCTATAACATGGCCTCACACTTCCTGTTCATGCGAGAGTGTTATGAAGCATCAGAGGTATATCTCAAATGTGTGTGTGACTGCAGGTCTAAAAACTGAGAAGTGTTTTCAGCAACACATTACAACGTCTTAGTCAAGTTATACTAAAATAAAAGAAAATATTTATTTTAATTATAAATTAAGCATGTACATTATAATAAACATTATATTTCTTTTTAATTATTGATATATTTTTATTAAATATCACTATTATTATTATTAATTTGTATTCTAATGCATAAATTATAATATAATTTACATATAAATGATAAAACTTTATGTAAAAACTAAGTGTAAATTATTATGCATTATAATGTATAAAAATAATCTTAAATCAAGCGCTCATAGTACAACTACAACAAATAAAATAGCATTTATTAAAAAAAATTTTGATTGATATTTAATTTATTTAGACAAAATTATATGTCATTTTAATATTGTACATTTACCGGCTTATTCGTGTCAGTGAGCCGAAATACCAACATTGCAGATGTTTATCACACAGTTTGTGGTTTTAAGTGATGAAGTTTGGTAAGTGTAATCTTCCGGTCTCTTCAACCTTTTCCAACAGGTGGAGAAAACAATCATGAATGGTTCGCAACCGGGCACCGTCAAAATGGACAATGCCACCTTGGCTATGTTTGACAACAAATTAACCAGTGATATTGTGTCAGCCGTCTATGTCATTGTGACTCTGTTCAACCTCAGCGGTAACGGCGTGTCTCTGTTTCTGCTGCTGATGCGCACCTCTCCGAAAACCCCCTCCATCATCTTCATGATCAACCTCACCCTCACTGACCTGATACTAGGCACTGTGCTCCCCTTTCAGATTGTGTACCAAATGCAAGGCTACAACTGGACTTTGGGCACGGGCATGTGCAATGTACTGACTGTGGTATTCTACGCCAACATGTACTGCTCCATTTTATCCATGACTGCGATTAGTGCCGACCGCTACCTGGGGATTGTGAAACCGATGCGTTTCAGAGAGAGGAGGGAGAAGAAAGCATTTGCAATTATTGCCTGTGTACTGATGTGGCTGCTGGTCCTTGTCATTCTGAGCCCTCTGGAAACAACAAACCTGACATATTATGTACATGAGCGCAATATTACAACATGCTTTGACATATTGAAGAAGGACATGCTCCCTAGCGTCGCTCACTGGGCGGGATTCCTGTTCGGCATGTTCATCATCCTCTTCCTCTGTCCGTTCATCATAACGGTGTATTGCTATGTTAACATCATCCGTGTCCTGGTCAGAAAGACCAATAGTCAACAGAAAGGCCGCGCTGTGCGCCTGGCGTGCATTGTCCTGTTTGTGTTCATCTTTTGTTTTGCTCCCAATAACATATTGCTCTTGGCCCACTCAATCTCAAGGCTGTACTTCGACAAATCTCTCTATATCTATTACAAACTCTCGCTGTCTCTTAGCTGCATTAATAGTTGCGTAGATCCATTTATTTATTATTTCGCATCTAAAGAGTTTCGCCGGAAGCTAAGGCAAATTCTGCGGTTGCAGACTCTCAGCACTGGTGAGACTCAAATGATTGAGGGTCACAGAGAAAGCTTTTTCTCTGGACGTTCAACGTACAATGCAAATGAAGACTGTGACAATTATTAACATTTCTCTTTTTTTTGTACGGTCTCTGCTACTTTTTATGTTTTTAAGATTATGGGGGAAATGTCATAGGAATCAGAAAATGTCATGATTCTCGCACTGTTTCTAAATGTGTCAGAGCACAAGCGCTTACCGCTAGGCCACGGCTCTGACACAGTGTTTTAGCATTTATAAGAATCTATTTAATTCGAATTCATACCACTTCCCATATTTTGTTTTCTTTTTGTTGTTTTGTTCTGTGTTGATCTCCTGACTGAGCAGCTGAGGAATAGCATGCTGCTCACATGCATTTAGGACGTGTGATATTGTGTATCTTTCTTTTTTGCTTTCTTTTTTGGTATCAGACATCCAAGATCCTCTTACCAAAAAAGTTCCCATATTCTTCATACAATGCTGTGTGATTATACTTATGTATCAACTTCAGTAATTTCAGATCTGACTGAAAAAGTAAAGACTTATTTTGGCAGCTATTTTTGACATATCGTTGATTTATGAATTATTTTTAGACTGTGAAATGTGTAGTTATTGTTTTTTTTTTTTTCATGATTGAGCCAAGGTGTTTCAATATTTATCTTACTTAAGCTGTTTATAATGTGCATGCATTATTAAAAATGTTTTGCTTAGTTACCGGTTTTGTATTTGTTTGTATTGCTGGGCATAATGAAACAGTTTTTCTATATTGTAACACAGTATACGATGTCATATGGTTAAATTTAATAAATACATTTGAGTTAATAATTAGCATCTATTGTCATTCTAAGATTAAAGATTACATATGGGCTATTCAACAAAATCCATGTTACAATCACCTTATGTCTATTTTCAGTTGTTCGACTACATGCTCTGAGAGCAAAAGACGATGTCACAGAAAGGTCAAGATTTGTTTTCAGTTCCTTTGAAACTGACTGAGAACTATTGCATGTCGAGCAATGTGTGCAAAGTAGGAACATGTAGTACTACATGTATGGAACATTTTTTAAAAAGTAAAACAAATTAGTACAAGGCTTCTGGAAAATCAGTTCTGAAATGTCATTGATATGTAGCCTCAGTCCGCAGCCTGCACAAAAAGGAAATGAAGCAGGTTGCAAATACCACTTCAAAGTGTGCTTAGACAGGTAAGATTATGGTTCAAGAGAGAGCAAGAAAGAAAGCATATTCCACAGGAGATACATTTATTAATTTATAGGCCTAAATCAAACTATAGAGTTACCTACAGAGAAGTATAGGGCAGAGTATAGGGCGTTTTTGCTTAATTTGTCTTTTAGACAATGAGACAGAAGATAAAAACAAAAGTGTGTGTATCTATATCATAGAGGCAAAGAAATATTACTTTTGAAATATGAAAAGGGTTGGTAGAATGTTAGGGGTAAGCTGTCATATCGATGAGCATGACATTGATTGGGGAACTCATTGGTGAAAAACTGTCATTAGAATTCTAAATAAAATACATAAATGTTTTTTTTTCTTTACAAAAAACAGAACAATAATGCATTGTCCCATATAAATGTCTTAATCTGTTGCACATTATTATGTTTTTCTTTTAAAGATTTCCATGAACAATGACAAGGTTTATTATTCATTAGGCCTACTTCAATGCAGTGAGATAATTTTTTTTTTTTAGATTATTATAAAAAATATAATTCTTTAAAATTTGTCTTGAGTTTGGAGGCTTATCAACTGTCTAATCTGACCAACTGTCTAATCAATTGTCTAATCTGAGAAAAAAATTCTCATTTTTTTGAGAAAAATGCTTTATTTAATAATTTAGTAATCATGAGACAAATCATTTACATGGATTTCTCCAACGGGGGGGCGCCTCTTTCGCTCGCTTACCTCTCTGCCATTCGTGCGCGTGCGCGGTTAGGAACGCGCCGTTAGGAGCTCAACACATCTGTCTCGCATGCACGCTCGCTCTAGATTACAGGATATTTTAACTAGTTTGCGGTAAAACTAGTCGATCACGAATGGCTCAACTAGTAGATCTATAGATAAACTTATCTTTCAGGCGTTTGACCGACCGGGTTGACACTTCAGCGTGAGAAATCGGGGGTGTGGCGTGAGAGCGTGAGAATTGGCTCAATTGCGTGAGTCTCACGCTGAATGCGTGAGAGTTGGCAGCCCTGTCTTACCATTCCAAAAAGCTTCTTGAAACTAGTTCCGAGTGTCAATTCGAATTGAATTGACGCGTTGGAGGACTAGGACCGCACGTCAGAACGCGCCAAGTTAGGCCTAACTGATTATTAAATTACATCACACCGCTATACACTGCTCAGTTGTGGTCTAACTATAAGAAAAAGAGTATGCAGAGACTCAAGGTTGCATACAATGATGCAATGAGGCTGCTGCTTCGTGTCCCTAGGTGGCATACGGTGCCAGTCATTTGTTTGTGTCTACTAGAGTGCCATCTTGTGAGGCATTTTGTTTTGGTCAAGACAACTGATGTTTGGTTTTATGTGTCGCCTGGACAGGTCAGTGAACCATATAATTGAAGCCCTAGTCAGTCCGCTGAAAAGATGTTATAGATACACATCTAGGTTAAGACGACACTGGTGCAATAGCCTGTATATCCTATAGACTAATATGGAAATTTGTATGTATTTATGTATGTATGTTTGTGTTATATGGACCTGTGTCTGCAATAAAGCTTTAATTAAAATAAAAATAAAGCACAATTACTAATATATGCAACTTTTGGTGTAACATTTTATATGACATTTGCGTATTTTGGCATTATATAATGCTGCAGCTGATTTAAAAGCAATGTTCTAATCTAAACTCTCTTTATAATGAGTGACGTTTTTACATTAGCTTACTGCGCATGCGCGCGGTAGACTCCTCCTCTTCAGGATCTTGGTCAGTGCTGCGAGTGCGTTTCGGGAAGCGCAGAGTTGAGTGGAACAGTCCTTTCCAGGTAAAAGCCTTAAAAATACTGATCAATTAACATTTGCTTCTTTTAGATATGTGTAATTGTCTACTCCTGACTGTATCAATCAAAAATAAAACATAAATGAATTCATAGCGCTCATCATCACGCCAAAGTCTTGCATGAATTCATTGTATATTTAGAGTAACTGAAAACTCTTTTAATGCAGCCACGCTGTGCATGCATCTTTTTTCTTAGAAACGGATAGGCTGATCTTTTCTGTTGAATTTCCGAAAAACAATGATAAAGACATGATGATCTGGCCAAACTGTGGTCAAGCTCACCTTTAACCAAGGTTGCTGTCCCAAAGAACATAGACATTTGATGGTTTAGCACACGCAGTTGTTGTGCAGTTGCTTTGTATGTAGCCTAGGTCAACTCCATGTCCAAGTACTGCACTTGCTTGAAGTTTGATGATTTTGACACGAATTTAGTGTTTCTCTTGATTCCCAGGATATACTTCTGGAACTGACAGCAAGGAGAGGGATAACATGCTGTTAAATCCAGTAATATCCAAGCTGAGTGGAAAGCTTGTTGTCCTGGCAAGTGCATCTCCAAGACGGCTGGAGATTTTATCGAATGCTGTACGTTTTTTTCTTTGTTAGTTTGTTTTAGGTTACAGAGGCAATGAACTTGAAATGATCAGTCCTTTATCTTTATCTTTATCTTTTCTTCTGCATCGATGAGGCAGGGTTTACGATTCGAGGTTGTTCCCTCCTGGTTTAAAGAAACATTGGACAAATCCTTGTTTAAAAATCCATATGAATATGCAGTGGAGACGGCTAAACAAAAGGCTTTGGAGGTGGCTCAACGAATGCCATTTGTAAGTTGTATTTGAAAACAGCAGCTGTTCTCTAACTTTGTTTCTGTCAATTTTCAATGTACCTTTTATTCTGTATGATTTCATATGTGCTGGGTTCAGAAACACTTGAAAACTCCAGATATTGTAATCGGAGCAGACACTGTTGTGGTAAGTAGCTGTATGTTTTTATATATTCTACATGTGATATTTAGTCCTGAAAAGTGCCTTGCTAAATTTGTTGCCTTTCGTTCTCAGACAGTTGATGGCTTGATCTTGGAGAAACCTACGGATAAACAAGATGCTTACCGTATGCTGTCCAGGTGCATTTTCATTTCTGTTTTGTCTTGAGTGAGAATTTGTGGCATTTATTGCATATATTATTTCAGGCGCTAAATGAATGTATTTCAGGTTGAGTGGTAAGGAACATAGCGTCTTCACAGGTGTTGCCATTGTGATCTGCCATGAAAACACTGGTATGTGATTGTTTATTATATATTTTTTTTACAATTATAGTCTTGTATTTGTGAGATAGACAGATCATTTTAAAGAATGATTTGTTCTTTTTTGCAGGTACAGATATGGACTACAAAGTAGTTGATTTTTATGAAGAGACAAAAGTTAAATTTGCAGAGTTATCTGAGGAGATGCTCTGGGAATACATCAACAGTGGAGAGCCCATGTGAGTTTATGAGGATAGATTTTGACATGCTAAATTCTTTGAAGCTCGGTGATTGAGCTTGGTCAGTGAATTGTTGAACCTGTGGAATTTGAACCTTGGTGCAGTTGTTCGTTTTATGTTTGCTTTGATGTGCTGAAAATGACACGTGAAAAGTCAGCAAAGTACATTTCAAGTAAAGAGTCCATTTTTGTCAATTTTGAGTAAATAAGGCCATTTTCTGTAGTCTGGCATTTCACCTGCCATGTAAAATTTGGCGAATGGTGGGACTGACAGATTTGTCTGTGCTTGACAGGGACAAGGCTGGTGGTTACGGGATCCAGGCATTGGGTGGCATGTTAGTGGAGTATGTGCAAGGAGATTTTCTTAATGTGGTAGGCTTCCCTCTTAACCATTTCTGCAAGCAGCTGGGGTTGATTTTCAACAGCCCACCTGAAAGCCCCACACACAAGAACAAATGGGATTCGGATGTGGCTTGGACTCTGGTTAACAGCCTTTCTGAAGGCGCCGCAAATGTGGAGGTTAAGCTATTGGAAAATGGTAAAGATTGCAGTAGGACGTCTATGCAAGATCAGAATGTGATGGGGCCGGAGTGTGCCAAGTGCAGCAGACAGGATGTCCCCCACAGTATTATCAACTTACTGGATGGGTTCAAAGCTTCAAAGGTAACAGTGATTAGATTACTTTAATAGTGAATCATTAAAGTAATGGTTCACTAAAAAAAAAAAACTAATTCTGGCATTATTTACACACCCTCATGTCGTGCTTAAAACTGATTTTTCTGTTTAAAACAAAAGGATAATTTTTAAAAAATGTTCACAGATTTTTTTAAATTCAACTATAGTTCATAGTGACTATGGGCTTTAGTCTCGATGAAAAACAAACCATTAACACATTTCTAATGACATATGCACTATATTCCAAGTCTTTTGATGCCAGAGTGAAATTTTGGTAAAACATTCTCCTGTTGTGTTCAACAAAATTGACTGGCACAAGTGTTAGCTCGGATGGAATCCCCACATCAGGGGCCTCATTTATAAAACTGTGCGTAGGATCCTTACTAAAAGTGTACGTGTGCCAGAAAGCCAAAAATGGCGTACGCAAAAAAATATTCAGATTTATAAAACCGTGCGTACGCCAGAACCTGCGCAGAATTCACTTTATAAATCCCGATAAATCTCAGTCAGCGGAAGATTGTGCGCACACGCGTCTCCTCCCCGAAATAACCATATATGGAGCTTACAACGCCTAGTTTTACTATGCATATTCTCATCTGCATATCATTTGCATATGATTATTCATCCACGTGATAACATGTTTAACGGTATAGACATTAGGAAAATATGAAATAGCCTAATACGGATGTGCCGTCACATTAGCCTACATTAATACAAATAATTTAGTAGCCTATCTTTGCATTGTTTTTGAATAAATAAATCAAATAGTGTAAAATACATTTCAGAGAAAGTTTTCACAATCTTTTCCACTGACCAAATAGTATTTTTTATTGATTTATATTTTTAATGGAAACAGATAGACTGTTGTGCATTATTTGCACGAAACTATTTTCTCAGACAATCTGCTATAAGCAATTATCTCTTTAGTTAAAATATTAAAACACAGCATGCCAGAGGAAAAGTGTTCAAAAGCATTGCATCCACAAGAAATATTTATATTTATTGAATATAAAAAAATGTTGTAACTCAGTAATGATTTCATGTTTAAGTGTTTAACTCCATCAATGACAATGGCATATTTAATCTAAATGTTTATATCAGAAGTAAAACAGTTTAAATCATTCTTTTATTTATTTAAACTGTTATTGTGAACATGCACTGTTTTTATGATTAGGACTCTGTCGTTAGATAGGCGTTAGTTTCACTAAACGGCACAACGCGCTCGCTGGCGCGGACATTTAAGAAGGGATGAATATTTGCCTCAAGTGATATGCTTGGTGAGTGAAATTATATTTGTATTATCTTTCTGTATAGCCTATGTATAATTTTCTTTAGATTTTCTGTCTAAAAGTGACCAAAAAGACATTTAACTCCAGCTCACCATCGGTGTCGCCAAACTGCTCCGTCTCCAAAACGTTCGTACGCATGGGTCAGAGTTTGCGTGCAGGTGCGCACATTTTTCCGTCAAGTTTGTTTTTATAAATCACAACTTATGCGTCGGAAGTGGCGTACGCCTCTTTCAGGGCCTGTTTTGTGCGTACGCAACGGTTATAAATGAGGCCCCAGAAATGTCAAATCCGATCTCGGACGCCAGATCTTCTCAAAAGATATGTTTTGTCTAGTGTCCAAAACCAGTTAAACCTGTTAACAGAAAGTCTTGTCTGGTACCCCAAAACTCTATTAACAGTCTTCTATCTGCCTGAGATTTTGACTGATAAAGCCAGAGAAAAGCAGAAGCAGGAGGCGAAGTGATGATGATAATTATAAAAATAGCAGAGTTTATTGAATAATCTTAGTTGCGTATGTTTCAGACTTTTTATACCAAGGGAAAAACAATGCAAAATTACTGCTTGACAACATCGTCATGTGACGTTAAAAACCTTGAAATGGAGACATTCTCTTATCTCCTAGTCATAAAGACAAACATCCCTTAAAACCACACAATCATAAGATTTAAGCAACAATAGAAAATAAATATTAAGTAATATAAAAAATAAAATGGTAATATGAATAAATGATAAATGGTAAAATTAAAAAACAAAGAAAGTAAAACACAACACAGATGTATTTGTTTCTCTCTCAAAGTAACACACACACAGGTTGCTAATCCTTAGATCCTTCACAAGAATAAGTCAATAATGACAACATTTAAATGTTTGGGTGAAGCATCCCTTTGAGATGTTTATTTAATTGAGGTATTATGCTGTCAGTGCATTCATTAAAGGTGCTCTACGTAACTTTTAGCGGCCTCTAGTGGTGATGTTTCAGATTGCAACCAAATTTTACAAGAGCGCTCGTGCTCGAACTCATAGACAATACCGTCTATTACGCAAATATCTCGGCGAATACTTGACGGATTCGGCGAGCACCGAGCTCGTTGGGACCATCTAGTCGAGCTGAAAAGAACCATATAAGTTCCATAGTGTTTGGTGGTGTTTTCACGGAGATATTAGCAGAAAACCATCGGGCGCGCTGCAAAATTGCGGACGCCGGTGACGTCACGATCTCAGAAGAAAATCGCTCGTATCTCTGGAACGCAAAGACCCAGAGAGCTCAAATTCGGGGGAGGAGGTCCCAGGGGAACCCTTGCCCGGCCTCGGGGATGCCCCCTACCGGATCGCCGTTCGCTGGAACCCCCGATTTCGAACGGCTATAACTCGGGGAGCCGGGCGAGTTGGACCTCGGGGGTGGGCTCGTTCGAAAGGCCCCGTCCAGCACTACGAACGATTAGAGTCTTGGGAATATTGATCAAAGATTGACAGATATAAGCCGAAAAACGTGCGCCTTTAACCGGATGTAACTCCCTGACCGTCTACAATGGGCTCTATGCACGGCGGTATTTCCGGTGAAGGTCTAAGGGTGCTGGATTACTTCCGCCGATCGTAGAGTCCAATGCTATACCGAGAATTTATATTGGTTTTTATACTCTATTGCTATACTAAAGAAACGTTAGTCACAAAAACAGACAAAACAGACACCCCTCATTTTTGTTTATGCTTCTTTGTTTATTATATTAAATAAACATAACTATATATAAAATTACATCTAAACGTATTAAAGTTTCGTTTCAAAGACGAGAGGACAGTACATTTTGAAGACTCTGCCATAATCCCGTTTTTCTCGGTTTTCCTCCGCTTTAAATCTCCCCAACCGGAAACGCAATAGCATCCTTGCATCAAACGCGGAAGTTATGCGTGCATATAGCCCATAGACTGTATATAAGGAGAGAGGCTCGGGAGCGCGCATGCACGTCACATCCGTTGGATTTCGCGGTAAATCCGACCCGGAGACTTCACATAGAAATAGGAATACTGGCCTTCAGAGGTAATAGCAAAACTCGACAAGTGGATCATTTTAATGTGTGATTACAACCCCTTCACACACAGGCAATAAAAAAAGGATTCATTTTAGTATAAAAGTTACATAGAGCACCTTTAATACATGTAGCATTAAAACACAAATGGAAAGGAATGTCCATTTTAATATATACATGGTTTGTATGATTTATTATTTATGAAGAAATGTGTGGTAACTGTTCTACAATGCATTTCGACAGACTCTATTCACAGCATCCAAACTGAAGGTGTTTGATGTGTTGAACGGCTCTGAAAGTCTGACATTAGAAGAGGTTGCTGTCCAAATCAACGCCTCTGTTTTAGGCACCGAGAGGCTTCTGGAAGCTGCTGTCTCTTTAGGGCTGCTAGAAAGGGTCAAACAGCGAGATACAAGTGGTAAGATTTTCGCACTGCCAGTTACTGTCGTAGAAATCACATGTGGTTTTCCTAAATGTGAGTTTTGAAACCTCTGAAAGCTCATTGTTCATTTATAACCTACAAATACTTTCTCTGTTCATTGAATCAAGGCACTTGCATGCATGGATGCATTTCCTCCTACTGTATGATACATGTTCTCTTTGTTATGTCCGGAGGTGGACTGTGAATGTAACATTGTTTATTGTCTGTTACAGTGTACAGAAATACAGAACAGGCCAGTCGCTTCCTGGTATCGGACAGCCCGGTGTCTCTGCATGGCTACATTCTCCACTGCAATGATATGGTGTGGCCTCTCTTCAGTCATCTAGAGAACGCTGTCGTGGAGGGCATCAGCCAACATGAGCGGGCCTTTGGGAAGAAGAATGAGGATGTGTTTCAGGTAGACACGCATTTTCTGCTTACATCACCCATGGATCGTGCACTTTTAAAAGCTGTTGACATTCTAGTACTGAGTAGAACTTTTTTCGTTTTCTAGGATGCCTACTACAGTAAAGATGAAGTTAAGATACGATTCATGGATGCAATGCACAGCATTGCAAGAGTGACTGGAAAAGATGTGGCAACAGCGTTTGATCTTTCTTCATATAAAACAGCCTGTGACATTGGAGGTATATGATCTTCCCCTCAGAAATAGAGATTAATAAGAGTCTTAATTTTTAGATCATTAAATCAATGATTAAGATCGAATACAGTCCACAACAATTTATTTAGCAAATCAAGCAAAAGTGAGTGGGGAAAACACTAAATGAATTTGACAGCACTCCCTAGTGAAAAAAACTATACCAAAATGTATTTAAAATACATTTATTTCAATCTAAGTATACTACAAATCTATTAAAATATTTACTGACATATCGCTTGAGACTTACTGATATAAATATTATAATTAAACTTTATTTGGAGTACTTCTTTATTGCACAATGCACATTTTTTAATATTAAGCCTAAAATGTGTTTTAATATCACTATTAGTAAGGAAAGTATGATCTCTCTATAATATCAGTCTTTAAATGCAAGATATTTAAAGTGTACCTAAAGTATACTTGCAATAGTTCCACTTTAGCACAATCAAATATACTTAATTATATCTTTAGTTGGAGCTCAGCACTATTTCTGGATAACTAAAGTACATTTAGTACAAAATTAGTAGTTCCAATTTAGCAGACTTTAAGTATATCAATTTAGCCAACAGACAATTGCAGGGTATTTATATTAAGTACATAAATATGTAAATGTATTTGTATTTGTAGTGTACTATACTTAGCATAAAATAAATGTATTTAAAATACATTTTAGTGTATTTATTTTTCACTAGCGCTAATATAATGTCAATTCAAAGTGAAGTAAATTTTAAAATGTTTTAATTTAATTAAATTAGGAAAGAAACCTATTTAATTAAAAAATAGATTAAAGAAAAAAAATTATAAAAAAAAAACATTTTGGTAGATTTTTTCTAATGTTCAGGATTATTCAACATTCCCCACTTATAAAAAACCTGCAGGTTCCCATTGAGTCGTGAGCGAGTGACCATGAGATTTCACTAGAGGATAGTGCATGCATATTTTATTCTGAAAGAGCTTGTTCTCAAAAGCTGCTTATCTGAAAAGGAGTTGCGAGTTTGTTATGCAAATTATATGTGCTTCTGATTTCCAGTTTTCTTAAGGGCTTTTTATGCCAAGGACATCTGTATTTATTGTATTCTGTTTATTTTCTTCTCCCGCGTTGACCTAAATCAGCCTCACGAGATCAGCATATTAGAATGATTTCTGAAGGATCATGTGACACTGAAGACTAGAGTAATGATGCTGAAAATTCAGCTTTGCCATCACAGGAATAAATTATTTTAAATTATATTAAAATAGAAATAATAGTTATAATATTTCACAATATTGCTTTTTTTTTTTTTACTGTACGTGATAATTAAAATATTAAAACATGTAAAAAAAAATTTGTACAGATTTTTTACCGATTTATGAAATGTATATTTTTATGGTATGATGCATGTTAAGAAAAGCGTTCTTGCACAGGTTGCACTGGTGCCATGGCGTACGAGTTAACAAAAGCCCACCCGGGACTGTCAGTTATTGTATTTGACTTGCCACAAGTCATTGAGATGAGACGCCACTTTAAACCTAAAGAAGATGATGACAGGGTGTCATTTGTTGCAGGTCAGTGAATACTTTATATAAGCGTTTTTATGATTAAGTATTTAAAAATGTATTAATAAGGAATTTTGAGTAATGTGCAAAAGGCCTTATAAAAATCTAGCATTTTTTCCTACTTTTATTTTTTTCAAATTAGGAGACTTCTTTAAAGATGACCTGCCTAAAGCAGACCTGTATATTCTTGCGCGAATCCTCCATGACTGGTCTGATGAGAAATTGCATTTATTATTGAGCAAACTGTCCAAAATGTGCACACAAGGTAAGTGCTTTAAAATGTGACACTATTAAATTCTTAATGTGTAAGCCTGATTCTGAAGTATCAAACTTTTTGATGCCAAGGATCCTCTAATACAGGGGTGGGAAACTCTGGCCTAAGCTAATCAATGTCATAAGGATTACTAGAAAGCTACAGGCTGGTGAGTGGATCTTGAGGGCCAGAGTTTCTCATCCCTGCTCTAATATGATGATCCTTTTGCAAATTGCCCTGTAGCGCCCCCTTGCGGCCCCCTGGGGGTTTCTGCACCCCTGCTTGTAAATGTAAACCCTTGGCCTAATTCAAGGGTCTTCAACCGGCAGTCCACGACCCCCTAGCGGTAATGCAGGAGGTCCTCCAATTAATGTTTGATCACAAATAATTTTTTTGTCAAAAACAAAAAACATGGGGGGAAAAATCACAAAGTTACATTTAAGCACCTTGAAACGAAAGCAAGAGCACCCTCATTTGATGCTGTACTAATATAATATTATCGGCGAAACAGATTTGGAAAACACTCCTATTTACAGCGTGTTTTTGCAGCGGTGAGAAATGTAGCCAATCACAGACATGTTTGTTGATCTCTTGAGCGCATTGTCCAATCAGAGGTGTTTTAAGTTAAAATCCACTCACCGCTCAAAACGCCAGAGTTTTTGTTCGGTGACGAGTTTGGTCACTCTTGCGATTCCTCTCATTAACTAAGAAAGACACAATGTAAGTTAGAGATTCATTATGCAGTGTATAGACAACTTTATTGATTTTAATGGAAAGTTGTAAGATTGCGAACTGAGATGAGTGACAGCTTTTAAGTGATTGTAAAGTGAGCGTTGTTTCGCGCTTTCGAGGCTATATAGATAGATATAAATGAATCCATTGAGTAAAAGTATTGTTTTTTTATGCTGCAAAGAGGACCGATGGCCAATTACACGCTGAAGTTTTGGAAGTGACATCTACACATAAATGCAAATCAGTGATAACTAGCACTGGACAAAAAAATATGGCATGTCAAAATAGATATGCGCAATGTAAATGCAGACAGACTAATAGATTACTAGAAAAATATTCGTATCAATATATTTTTTAAATTCCATTCCAATTATTTGTGAAAGTAGTGACTTGTAAATAATCTTAAATGTCTCACTGTACATCGCTATTCTTGTTATTACATCTGCACTTTACTAGATAACACGCACTCATTTCACATACTCAGTGATTTGATTATTAATTTTCCATCTGACGGTCAAATTAAAATGTGAATTTTTAATAAACTCGTAGCTAAAGTTCAGGTAAATGTTTAATTGTCCATCTGATTAATTAAAATCAAAATATATGACTGCAAATCCGTTAAAATAATTTACAACAACTGCAAACAACGAATGAATTGTGATTTTTATCGCAACGTGTTGTTTATTATGATGAGTAATATACAGACAGCGATGCATGTGCAACAACAAAATTGTGTATAGTGCTGATCTATTGTCTTAACATCATAATATGATCATAATATGGTAAGTGGATCGAAGGCTAGAAGGTTAATATGTAGCTCTGTTTGACACATTTTATATCGTGGGTCCCTGCTCTGTGTTTCTTATCGCATAAGGGGTCCTTATGATAATCATTACGAATTATGAATTTTCAAATAGCCAGTTCTAGACAATAAGGACGATTATGCAGATACTTTATTGATCTGCAAGTAAGAAAACGTTTTGTTTTGTTTTATTACCAAAACTTGTCATACACTGATAAATACTACTGATAATTATTGATAATTCAAGTGTGCTAACAAGTGAAAATGTATTGAAGATGTATTGATGTTTGTTGACAAATATAAACATACAATAAAAACAGACATGACATAAGGGCAAAATGTGTTAACATTTTTAGAAGAACCCAATGCAAACATGCCAGTTTTATATAATTTGAAACTTTGGATACATTTTTACGGCAACAGGGAATCTGTGTTATTTTAACTAATTTTTAACCTAAAACTTACCCCGTTCAGATGGTAATAATGTCCGCATTCAAGCATTTCATACAATGGGCATTAACAGCTTGCCTTTTTACAGCAGATTTAGTTCACAAACAACTGACAGCCTTGACCTAAATATGATTTTCATAAAGTGTTTGCTTTATGAATGTATTAATAACAAACAGGTTGTGGACTTCTGGTGTCTGAGATCTTCCTGGATGAGGAGCGGAAAAGGCCGAGCCGGGCCCTGCTGCAGGCCCTCAGTATGACAGAAGGAAAGCAGAGAAGCACCGCAGAGTACAGTGACTTACTAGAGAAGCATGGCTTCACTCTCAGACACATCCAACACACAGACAACCTGCTAGATGCCATGCTATTTGTCAAAGAAGATCCAAATGACAATAGAACGTTACTAGGCTGTTCTTCAGCATCCATTGAGACTGCTGAACTTGAGTGATATAACTACAGCATTTGTATCAGAAACACTACAATTGACTTATTCTAGTTCATCAACTGGGGGAAAAAAATGTTTTTTAGCTGTGTTTTGAAGTACTATGAATGTTTCTGATCTATAAGCTCAAACTAAGTATTTGTACATGATTATTATTAATTACAGATAATGTTTTTAACCGGTGATGTAAACTGAAATAAATATGGTTTGAATTTATAGCCAGTGTTCTTGTCTTTAGGTTGTTTTTTATATGTGGTCATATTGGGAAGTTATCACAAGGGCTATATCTCATAAGTGAGGTTTTAATTCACTTTAGCAGTGATTTTGTATGTTGGTTTATTGTTCAAAACTCTTTTAAATTAGAATAATATAAGAAATGTAATCAGTTAGAACATAAACTAGCATTACTACATTATATAACGCTTAACACAATGCATTACAGAGTTATAAATTAGTTAAAAATAGCATGTCATGAAATGTTCTATAGGACTTGTTGCTTCGGGTGCAAACATCGCGAGAAACCTCGAGAGTTGGCTGTAGAGGACACACTACGCATCTCCCCATCACTTTCCGCTCTACTCTACCTCCTGCTTCTGCAAGCAAGCACGTTCAGTACGTCGTGTTTTCGAAAACACTGAGCTAAAGAATCAACGCTGCCATGGCTGATGCTGCCCTTTCTTTCGCTAAAGACTTTTTGGCCGGTGGTGTCGCAGCGGCAATTTCCAAGACCGCAGTTGCACCGATAGAGAGAGTCAAACTGCTGCTGCAGGTGAGACCGTGAGAATTATCACCTTGACTAATCTTAGCGCACTCTGATATCTCATGAATCATGCATGCAAATACATAACCCGTTTTCTGTCGCATTTAAGAATTATCTTGTGGCATTGACGTTGATTAACGTTGAGACACGACTTTGTCCTTCAGAGGCCATTTTTGAGTTGTGTGTTCGCAACATCCGCATCCTTCGAGCATCTTTACTCTCAAATTGGCATTCTGATACCAAGTGTCTATTCTTGAGTTCTCTCATTTGGATCTTTATATCCAAATTTTAGTAACTCAAATGTATTTTAAGGTCAAACTGTGAATTTTTTATCTGCGTGCTAGGTGGTACATTCTGTCCCCTGCAGTCTTGTCTCATGTTACAGGCCGTGGCATGTTTAGACCTTCCTGGATCAAAATTACTATTAAATGAACATAGTCTAACCATTTTGGATCAAAAATACAGTAAAAACTGTAATTTTGTGAAATAAAGTTACAATTAAAAATGGCTGTTTTCTATTTTAATATATTTTCAAATGTATTTCGGTAGCTTGTTTCTTCCACAGAATAAAATGAAGGTTATTGAGACTTTATTAGTGGTACTCGCTGCAGAGTCAAATGACGTCCAGCTCCTCCTCACTGGACGTCTAAAGGGGTGAAGGGATTGTGGGTAGGTTAGGGTGTGGTTGGAACTTGGTTATTCTCGCTGGATGTAATGGGTGGAGCTGGACGGTCCAACCACCTAACCTTACCCATAACCCTATCGCTAAACATAACTCCTCCCATTAGGTCCACAGAGGTGGAGCTGGACAAGGTCCAGCCATTATGTCCAGAGAGGGGGGAGCTAGATGTCATTGGGCTCTGCAGTGAGCACCACTTGATATTTTCAGCATCAGTTTTCAGTGTTGCATGATTCTTCCTAAATCATTTTAATATGCTGATTTGCTGCTCAAAAGACATTTCTGATTATTATCAATATTGAAAACAGTTTTTGCTGCTTAATATATTTTATGGAAACTGTCATACACTATTGTACAAAAGTATTTTTTTTAAGATGTGGATACTTTTATTCAGCGAAGATGCATTCAATTGATCAAATGTGGCAGTAAAGACTTTTATAATGTTACAAAAAAAATGCTGTTCTTTTGAACTTTTTATTCATCAAAGATTCCTGCAAAATAATTACAAAAATACAAAATATATACAAAAATATTAGGCATCATAGTTTTCAACATTTATGATAATAAGAAATGTTTCTTTAGCACCAAATCAGCATATTAGAATGATTTCACACTGGCTGTTGAAAATGTAGCATTGCCATCACAGGAATAAATTACATTTAAAATATATTACAATAGAGAACAGTTATTTTAAATTGTATTTAAAAATATATATATTTTTATGGTATTATAAAATAATACTGTTTTACTGTATTTTTGATTAAATAAATGCAGCCTTAGTGAGCAAAAAAATATATATATTTCTCATTACTAGACACTATTTATGGGGGTTTCAGTATTTAACTCCATCCGTCCCGGTAAAAACCCCAACTTCAAGATACAAACATCAAACTAAAGCCACTCATCAAACTTATTGGTTGATTCAAATATTGTTCCAACCCAGATATCATGTAACTCACAGGATTTTGTGTTTCACTTTACAGGTACAACATGCCAGCAAGCAGATCACTGCAGACAAACAGTACAAAGGTATTATCGACTGTATTGTGAGGATTCCTAAGGAGCAAGGCTTTATTGCCTTTTGGCGTGGCAACCTAGCCAACGTCATTCGCTATTTCCCCACACAAGCCCTCAACTTTGCCTTCAAGGACAAGTATAAACAGGTATTCTTGGGTGGAGTTGATAAGCACACGCAGTTCTGGCGATACTTTGCTGGCAACTTGGCCTCCGGTGGAGCTGCAGGAGCCACTTCCCTCTGCTTCGTCTACCCCCTAGATTTTGCTCGTACCCGATTGGGTGCAGATGTCGGGAAAGCTGGCAGCTCCAGAGAGTTCAATGGGCTGGCCCACTGCCTGGGCAAAATCTTTAAGTCAGATGGGTTGCGGGGTCTGTATCAGGGCTTCAACGTCTCTGTCCAGGGCATCATTATTTACAGGGCGGCCTACTTCGGAGTCTATGACACTGCTAAAGGTAATAGGTTTGTGCTTCAGATGATGTGATCTGCAGGGTTGTGATTTGACAAAGAATCCATTTTAAATTCCAATGTAATTCCTAAATTTGAAATAATTTGAATAGAGGTAGAAAACAGAATCATGCAGAACTGCAATTTAAATGTTTGGAAGTAGAATTAAAATGAATTGAAATTCAAAATTCTGAATAAAAATAAAGGTAAATCACTAGAAAAGCATATACAAACTTTGTTTCAAGCCTTGTTTAAATTTAAAAGTGTTATTTTAGTATTGTTTATATACTATTATAGTATTATAGTAGCTTTTATTTGTATATTCAGGTTTTATTTTCATTTTAATTATTTTTGTTTTGTGCTTTTGTCATTTTTATTAGTTTTAATTATGTTTTTTAGCTTTGTTTTATTTCAGTTGTAGTAATTTTTGTATTTCAACTTATTTTATTTCAGTTAGTTGCCAGTTATTCATCAAATATTTAATCGCTTTAGTTAATAATAACGACACTGGTTTGAAAGTTTAGAAAAAACTTTTTTTTTAAAAAGTCAAGCTTTGAAATTAAATTTGTATTTAGTTTATATATTTCTTCCTATTTAAAAATGAACTTGTGGACCAGGGTGGAAGAACACTTCCCTTCCCAGAATGCATTACCTGTGTTTTCTTTGAATATAGTGCAACAGTGCAAACTCAATTTATTTTCTCTACTAGGAAATTGATTTTGAACGATAACATATAAACCTTTAAAGGCTGCTGTGAGCTATGAGGTTATTAATCCATGGTATTTGCTTCTGCTGAAGCGGTCAGCCCTAATTATTTCAGCTTATTTTAAAAATAATCGGTAACGCTTCCTTTTACAGTCCTGTTACCCATGTACATACTATGTACTTATTATAGTAATTACAATTACTGGGTAATAACTAGGTACTAACCCTGAACCTACCCCTAACCCATGTACTTACCTTATATTAGCCAGTACTTTCTAGGTAAGTACACTGTAAGTACACGTAAGTACTGTACTGTAAAAGGAAGCGTTACCAAATAATCATGTTTAACAGTGGAATTCCTGATGAAAAACTACATTACTCATAATGCTGTACAGAAAATTACACCAATCAGTGCCCACCCCTTTTTTTTTTAGCTGCGCTGGTTCCGGAAGTATCTTTTCCATACATTTTTCCCATATGGATTTAAAAAAAGTCTTCGTTAAAGAATTATAAGCCATAAACCAAGCCAATCAACTAGGTGAATTACAACACTACAAGCTTACACTGATTTGAAGCAAAAAAGTTTTAGAAAATTAAACAAAAAGACATAGGTACAAGACTGTATATATATACGAGTATTTTGAGAGCATAGGGAGATCGACTTGATTACATAATTCAGTGCTTCATGGGAGTGGGCGGAACTTTCTGGTGTAATTTTCTGTACAGCATCATGGATAATGTCGTTTTTCACAAGGAATTCCACTGTTAAACACGAGTGTTTTAAAAAATAAGCTGAAAGAAAGCAAGACGATGGCAAATACTTAAAAGGTTTATTACTACTGATTCACTCTATTGGCGATTGGCTCTTTTATTAAGAAGGCGGGACTTATTCCGCCATATTGCCAATTGCACTTTTTCCCTTTCATATTAATATGAGACCACTGTTTTTGTATTTCTAAAGTCTTAGATTACAACTCAGTAAATTCCTCTTCCTGTCATTCCAGTTAAACTTGTGATATGGCCAGTTCAATTCAAATTCATACGGCTAATTCTTGAGTTCTGAATTAAACGAGGTCCATGCATTGTTTCTTGTGTGGTGACGTACAGGCATGCTTGCTGACCCTAAGAACACCCACATTGTGGTCAGCTGGATGATTGCACAATCTGTGACGGCAGTGGCTGGCGTGGTCTCCTATCCCTTTGACACTGTGCGGCGTCGCATGATGATGCAGTCTGGGCGCAAAGGAGGTATACAACACACATATGCTCAAACATATTGGCTCATTTGAATAACTCCCTGCTCTCTATCAAGTATGCATTTATTTAAACTCAGGCCTTTGTCTTTTGTTTTCCCAGCGGATATTATGTACACTGGAACCATTGACTGCTGGAGAAAGATCGCTCGTGATGAGGGCGGCAAAGCGTTCTTCAAAGGGGCTCTGTCTAATGTACTCCGAGGAATGGGGGGCGCTTTTGTGCTCGTGCTTTATGATGAATTCAAGAAGTTTGTTTAAACAACATATGCTAAAAGAAAGTAGAATAGATTTCACCACAGTTTTGTCAAGCTTTAACCAAACCCTCTCCACTCCGCACAGATGTGGTCTGAATTAAATTGTGTTAGAAGCAAAAAGCAATTATTATTTTAAATTAATTCTGTTGGTTGCTATATTTTTATGTTCAGAAAATGCTCTTTCCTTTGATGATAAAAAAAAAAAATCTAAATTGTATCAAAAGAAAGCATCTATATGTGTGATTTAAGTGTGCAGCCAGAGAAATATTACAGATAAAATTATAAAAAGAAAAAAAAGCGAAATGTGTTGCGTATTTATGCTCAAAATTATTTTAATTAAGATTTTGTCTATAATATTCCTCCATAAATCTGAGCCATTATAAGTATTCATTAATATGTTGTCTATTCCGTGCAATACCATAATTCCTCCTGAAGATGGCGTGACACGACAGCATTTTGTCCTGCATTCATATACAGTACCATGTTCTTGTAGTCCTTCGGTTAAGTTTTTCAGTTCTCCTAGCCATGGTCTGTGGTTACAAGGGTATACAATATCACTCTCAAAACAAAATGTGGAGTTCAAACACAGAATACTGTTCCACAGTTTAAACGTTTTCTCAAAGTTGGACTTGAAAAACCAACTGAGAGCAAGTGTCCGATGGAATCATAGACGTATTAAATATGACGCTTTAATTCACAACAGATTTGCCCTCTATGTGTCTCAGCAATGAAAGAGAGCCCAGTAAAGTGTTCCAGCAGAGAATGTGTGGAGCCAGAGACATGGCATTCACAGTCAGACCTTATGTGACACGAAAAGTGTATTTCCATGATTTCTCTTTTTGGAAGTCCGCTTAAGTATTTTCCATCTTGGATAATGAGGGGAGTCATATTTTCATGGTCATTTTCTTGTCAGTCTCAGTGTTTGGTTGCGTCAGGCTGATCTTGATGAACTAGATCCCGCTTTTAGAAGTATAAATGTGAGGGCAAGTAAGGAAGGGCGTTTTGAGTTCAGGAATGACACTGGAACGTTACACTCATTTTTAGCATGTAGAGCTATTGTAATATTATTCCACACTTTATGGAGAAAAAGGCTGTAGTCTACTTACAGATTCTACTTGCAGTAATGTACGAACACCAATGCTTGTGAATTCAATAAATGTCCATACCTTATATGCTCTTATGTTTTCAGATTTTTAATCATTTAGGGTTTGTGGCAATTCAACGTTTATGAACTTTTAAATTGTCTATCTCCATAATCTAAAAATATAAAAGACAAACTAAAATATTTTGCCAATAAAATGCAATTATTAACCTTTTCATATACAATAATAGCATGTTTTAATAATTAAAAGTGAACTAATTTTTTAGTTTGACAACGAACACAGCAAAAAACCAATACAGCATAGTTCAAAACAATAATAACTAATCATTTTTGAACATTGACTATCGGTCTTTATTCACCTCTTTCTCGTGGTTTCTCAATAGAATTCATAAAAGCTGGTTAGATCACTATCTCAACTAAATAACAATAATTGGAGATTAAAATAATAGCAGATTTGTCTCATTGTACTATACAAACACTAAAAACTGAGATGAAAAATTAACTTCAGTAAGAAATTTGCTATGGTTAAATAAATGTTCAGTGATATCTTCCAAAGATTTTTGAATATTGGCGCAATTCTTTCTCTATATTGTGTTGATATGGCAACTAGTTGTGCCCCGTTCACCCCTAACTGTAATTAAATTACAGAAAAATCAAGACTTTAAGAGTAATCCCTTACTTGACTTTACTTGAAAAGTAATCAAATTACAATAATTAGTTACTTTGTAATCCATTACACCCAACACTGTCCCTACATAACATCTACTGACAGCTGCCACACTTGCACTAATATAGCTATGGGTACGGGGCTAAAGGCACACCTTAAGAAAAAAATGCTTTTCACTATTCCCATGCAGAAAAGATATACATTGTATTGAACATTTTTAGAGCAACAGATTTTGTGTGAAAATAAATCATAAAAGTGGTCTTATAAATGTATTAGGTTGCAAGGTGGGCCTTTTACCCCACACAAGGGGTAAAAGGCGCACATTATTTATACAAATACTTTAGCTAGAATAATGTATTTTTTATAATGTCTAAGTTAATACTTGTTCAAAATAATCACTTTAGCAAAGTTTGCACTATTTTCTGTTTATTTTGAGAAGTAAAATAATTCATTTTTGTTCAATAACTTGGCTATATTTCATTAAGATATGTTAATATAAAAATACATTTTAAATATTTATAAACAAAATTATTTTAAAAAGTAAAGATTCTGAAAGCATTGAATGAGATCCCATAATAATTTAATATAGATTTACAGCAGTAACATTAAATCATATTTTATTAGCCTATATGATATGATTAATATCATATTTTTTTTAATCTGATGGTTTAATTTTAAATATGGTGACACCCAACTTAATATATGCTATTTGCAGCTGAATCTAACCAGCCTAATGTCAACAAATGGTAAAGTCAGCTGGCTGTTTATTATCATGTTAAATATTGTGCCTTTTACCCCAAATACCCCTTTTACATATTCTTCCGATATTGAAAAACTGTTGCTTTAATTAGCTTGAGCAAAACTGAAAATCAGAAGACTGTGGCGAGCAGGACGTCTAAAAAAAAAAATTGTCTCAAAATATATTCAATAATTTTAGCAATTCTGATTTGCTACTTAAATTACAACATTTTTTTTTAAAAAAAAAACATCAAATATTAGATCAAATTAGCGCAGAATCAACTTTATGTCAAGGATCAGACAAATTTCCACGTGCATCTTGAAAAGCGGATGTTTTGGAAAGTGCTGCTGCAAGTTTTTGTGCCATCTTGTGGTTTAGAGGAATATAAAACCAAAGGAGCATTTTACCCAGTGGAGCCTATAGCCCCGTTGTATCATATATATATATATAGAGAGAGAGAGAGCGGCCTATATATTCTGCATGGTTAGATTGTAGAGATTAACTGAAAAAAATAGCCAATACTGTGTATTAACAGAAAAGCAATAAGCATCCATGCCAATAAAGGGTGAAATGGCAAACCGATTGTCTTTCTCAGCTAGAGCATTTCAAAGCTTCTGTAATCAAGGCTGATCTACAATCTTAAGCACAGCTGGACACAGTCTCTCTATTATGCCTCTGATTTTGTTTACTACAGACAGACTTTGCAAGACTTTATAATGAAAACCATACAAGTCAATCAACTGACAGAGATCAAAGGCCAATGTAATTTACCAAAATGGCCATAATACAAAGCAATCTTCTGTAATGTGAACTGCCTCGTCCGACTCCAAGCATACTGTACATGTCAGATAAATATTAAGTAATTTTCTTTAAATGCAACCTTGACAGGGGTTTGGAATTGCCAACCTGCAAGTAATTATAATACTAGTGTTAAGTGCTTTGATATTAAAATGACTGGTTTAAAACCATTAACTTTCTTCAGATAACAGGAAATGTACAATTGTTACCATATGTTGATACTTTAGAAAACTGTGTGTTCATTGACAACATGTGACATGAAATTAAAACATTATCTGCTTTCCCTTATATGAATTCTCATACATTTGAACTGGAATTTGGTGAAAGATTTTTAAAATCTGCCCTTTATTATTTTTTAAATCTGCCCACTTTTATTATTGCATTATAACGATTGCTTTCATATTTGTGTTTTGAATTTACAACTGCTAAGCAGACATAAGAAGTCCACATGATGGCACTGTTGAAATGAAAATAAAACAAAATAATGGTTGCTAGAAGAAACAGATCTAGATTCATAACAAACATGAACTTTCATCAAACTCTTAACATTAAAAGCATGCGTTTCTATCTCGGTTATTCTTTTTATCTGTACTGTTTTGTTTGTTTGTGGCATCATCCATTCTGAAATGATGTTCAGCAGAGTAATTCTAAAGCCACCATTTGGACTTAATTTGAGAAAAAAGCAACAGAAAAGTTTGTGAGATACAGCACCTACTAAGCCTTTGACGGATATCACAGCTAAACGAGCTTCAGTGATTGTGTTCTGTGGCATTAACTGTGGATATATTGACTTATCCACTAGACCCGAGGTTTGTTGTGGTCAAAATCCCATGTGCTCTGGCAGCAGCCTCAGTCAGTCAATCTACGAGCAAACACTCATTGAGGTGTGGACTGTGAGAAGTGAAATATTTCATGACAGGGCTTTCATCCAGACCTCGGATGACTCTTTGTTGTTATTTCGGAGTTGTCCCAGCGGACCACTCTTACCTTGCAGTCTGCTGGCTGCATCTCATAAACACACACATACATACACACACTGCTCGCTTCAGATGTCTTGCATGCCATGTTCTCTGTCATGTCACGCACCTTTATGCTCTTTCATTCTGTTTGAAAAACAACAATAGCATCTGTAAGGGTGTTGTGTCCTTAATTTTACGTTTATTTACGCTAAAGGATAGACCTTTCTTGTTAGTAAATAAAGGAATCTTTGACTTCTAGACTATTAAATCAACGATTTATACCAGGAATTCATTCACTTTTATGTCAGCCAAACAAAAAAAATGATATATTACTTGAAGATTTTAAGTTAATGTTTCAATTTACATGTTGACAGTTATCTGATGTTAAGGGTCACATGACATGCAGGAAAACGTTTTTATTTTTCATTATATATATATATATATATTTTTTTTTTGAGTGTTTAATTTTGATTGTTTTTATTTTAAAATCATTTCATTTTTACAATTTAATTATCACTAGTTTTTCATCAACTCACGAACCCTGCCGAACTCCCAGGGGCTCGAGCACCAGAATTTGGGAAAACCCCTGATCAGTCAATTTTTTTATACACATTTTAGAATAATAATAGGGTTCTCTATTTTATTTGTGAAAAAAACTGCGGAACTATAAAATAAAATATAAAAATATACAATTACAATCCAATTAAAAACTATAACAATATAAAATTAAACATAAGTTTTGTAAAGAACTACATATTGTAGACTATGCTATAGAGATAAGGTCGTCAGAGCAGAATTGTTAATGATTCTGATACTGGTTTTTATTATTATTATTATTTTTCATCAATCTGTTGATTTACTAAGGCCTGTAGCTAATGACCATAAAAGTAAATGTAGGTCATTTCAGCATCAGAAAGCAAATAATGTCTTCCCATAAAAAAAAGATGCAGAGATAAGAAAAGAAAAAAAGAAACATGCACTTACTTTTGTCAGGCTGATAATGCTCTGAGATACGGAAAATGTTCTATAAGTGCATTAAAGGAACTAGTGGTTAGCGTGGTTAGCTCGCGACAAACATGTTTTTGCTCAGCTGCTTTTGTCTTGTACACTGCAAAATGTAGGCTAAGTGATGACCAAACCTGATAACATTCAATTTGAATAAAAATGTATTTGAATTAATTTGAAAGGTTTTTGAATGTGAATGCACTTAGAAATGTTTTATAAAACCCAGTTAGGAACAGTAGATCAGAGAGTGGGACGTCTCTTGAAGCACAACTACTCCACACCCCTGACATTGACCCTTTTTGTTGACCTTTACGGTGCCCTTGCCTCAAACAAACCGTCATTGATCATCACGCGCAGTCATGTTGACTTTCAACAGCTGTTTGTTTGATTATAAGTCAGTCAGTGGTCAAAGCAAACAAAACAACCGTCGCTTTCTTTTCCGCCGTTTGTTGCGGCGGCTTATTGGCCCTGACATGTTCCAGTGCCTCTGTTTAAGACCAGTGGTGTCGTTCCAGTGTTTGACGACTGTCACACATCACAAAGCTCCACTTTTGAAGCGCAAATAGGTGACCCTCCACCTCAGTCCCACGTCTCTCTCTTCTTCTCTCTAGCAACAATAACAATCAATTCTTCAACATCAGAAGGTTCTGAAGAACAACTTATAAATCATATGCATCCCCTGCTGGTCTCTTGGCGGCCAAGTTGACTTTACTGAAGCGTTGCTTTGATCGTGCACTGCTTTGATTCACTTTTCTCTCACCCTTTTAGCTAAACATATCATTGGAATTTGGCTCTTTGTTCCTGACAGGTCTCGTCTTAGCTCGGTTTCTCTGCAGACACGCAGCCCTTCCCAGAGGGGCGGTAATCGAGTGCTGCTCAAAGATTTATCCTCATCTTTTC